ATATATATATATTATTCTATTTTATAACCATCGTAGAGCAAATTGACCCTAATTTTTTGATGTTTACGAGTACTAATGCTCAACTCCGTAGCTTGTAATTCTGAACCAAATCCAAAAGACAAGGGAACTTCTGGATCAAGTATTGAGTGAAATTTACTTTCCTGGAGGATTTTTTGATAGAACTAACCAGTATTTGTGTAACATGCAGCTGAAAACACGGAAATCTCCCAAGGGACCTCTAACATATGTAACTGAGAATATTTCATGTCAGCACTGTGGTCGGTGCGAGCCGAGGGCTGATTTTGTATTGCTAGATATCGCTGGGATTCGAACTCGGTGAACCTTATTTGGAGCAGAGCGCTCCATCCCCTGAGCCACCATGGCTCAATTATTATTGTCAAATTCCATAAAGCTAAGGAAAAAAGAATTATTGCCGTAGTATTACATATAATCTGCGCCTAACTATAACAGGACGTCTTTAATAGCATTACTGTATTAAATGTACATTATCATGTTTCCTTACGAGGTTTTATCTGAAAAATGTTCAAGGTTAAAAAAAAGTAGATTTAAATTTTATTTTCCAATTAGCTCTGTCGAGTCACCTTTGAAGATGACTTGAATCGGAATCAAGTTTGCGTCATGAGGTTAGAAACAACTGCTTAGAAATCTGCACAGAACAACCACTTAATTGTGACCATTGGACAGTGTTTTGCAACAGATTGCTATTGCATTATAGTTTTGCCATAATTCTACAAAAGAGCTGGTGCATAAAAAAGAAAATAATTTCTTGGTATAAATTCGAAATTTTATTTCGCGTGCAGGGTAGAGTGAATAAGAGATCATACCTAAACATCATTGAAGCTGATGATTAATTATCTGATGATTTATTTAAATGTCGTCGAGATAGTGTCGCGATAAATTATCAGAGTAATGTGACTTCATTTAATATAACTTTAAACAGGGTAATGCGTCCAGCAAACTACTGTAATATATTGGTATCCGATTTTACTTTAGATTTTGAAGCGTTTGCCACGACATTCTTTATATTTCAATTCTAAAAAGAATTTAGGGATCAAATTAAAAGGGTGTTTCGTAATATATTTACAACCATCTGGCTTCACTCTATTAAAAAGTCTTATTCTGGTTTTCGCCTTCCAATGAGCTGAACCGGGTTCAAATCTCAGCTATTACTGATTGATTCGAATTCCGCATCCGGCTTGCACTGACCACAGTGCAGACGTAAAATATCCTCAGAGTTAGACGGGTCATGGGTTAGGGTCCCCTTGCCATCAGGCTAATCACCAGAGTCTTTCGTGGTTTTCCTCTCCATGTAACGCACGTGGGGGTTAGTCCTATCAAAAAGTCCCCCACGAAGGCAAATTTTCCCCAATACTTGTTCCAGGAGTCCCCCTGTCTCCTGGATTGGTTTCAAAATTGACTACGGAGTTGAGAATTGGTAGTCTTAAGCCCAAAAAATTGGGACGGCTGATCAACGAAGGTTATTAAATGAAATAAAATTTTAAACTGATAAAATGTTTTCAGGATACTTAGTCAAATTTTACTACCAGTAATAGTGACTTTAAAAGAAAAAAAATTGCTATCGTTAGAGCATTTATAGATATGAGCAGGCAACTTTTAACTTTATAAGTTGAAATGCATTTACCAATCTCTTAGAAATAAATATTAAACTAAAAAATATTTCAAGTAATAACATTAAAATTATAATGAATTAAGAAGAGGGTTTTCCGCCGTATCAGTTAGGAAAATTTGAAATGTTAAAGTTAACTTGGATTTTAAAAGTGACTGATGAAAAAACCTGAAATTTATTATAAAGTTATCAATTTATTTATAGCTATTAACTTATTTATTCCTTTTTAACAAGTATATTTAATGCAAATCAAAAATATAACAAGAACTTGATTAATGATAAAATAATGACAAGATATAGAAAAAAATATATACAATAAAAATACATAAAATTATATATAATAATAAAATAAAAATAATGACTAAAAAATATTTAATGAGATAAAACACAATTCAATTTGAAATGATATATAATCTTATTGCATAAAAAGTTCAAATATATATATGTATAAGAAAAGAATTTTAAAAGAAAAATGAAGAAATTTCTATAAAAAGACATACAACTTCTTTTCCTTATCTAATATGAAATAATCATATTTAATACTTTATATTTGACATTGTATACATTTTTTAAGGGAAATGCGTTAAATGTTTATGCATTTTAAACTTTTCTGGGTGATTTTTAACTTTGTATAAATGCCGAATTTTTGACTTTGCCGGCAGCAAGTATACCAGTTAATTATTTATTTGCTTATATACGATTAATAGAATAAATAGTGATTCCTTACCTCAAAAGAATTTCCTGTTCCAAAGTATATTGGTACAAAAGCGAGCCATATAATACAGGTTGTGTACATTGTAAATCCGATAAACTTTGATTCATTAAAGTTCTCTGGTATTTTTCTGGTCTTGACGGCATATACCGTGCAAATGGTTATCAGCAACATATTATAGATGAGCGACACAAGAAAAGATGAGTCCCGGATGCTGCATTTCAGAATCACTTGATTCCTCTTCCCATCCGGGTAATATTGCCGGATACCCGGAGGTTCAAGCAAAAACCACACCGCTGTTCCTATCACCTGGACGGATATTAGCACCGAGGCGATGGCCAGCTGGGACTTGGGACTAATAAAGCTGGGTCTCCGGGCCGATCGCCGGGCGCTCTCGAAGATTCTCGAGATTCGGTTAGTTTTGGTGAGCAGAGAGGCATATATTATGGCGAATGAGAACCCTATGCCGAATCGTTGGAAGCCGCAAGTGATGGGAGTTGGCTTGGCGAGCATCACAAATGTCATTAAGTAACACAGCATGATACCAGTCAGCAGCAGGTAGCTCAGTTCTCGACCTGCTGCCTTGACGATTGGGGTGTCATTGTTGCGGAAGAACACCACCATAACCCAAAATGTGAGCATCATTCCGAAAGTGGCTATGGCCATAGGAACTATGGCGAAGAGGGAATCGAAACGCATGTGTTGCTGAACCAGATCATAGCAGCTCTGCTTGTGTTCATATGGCCACCTACCGTGGCCGCAATCCAGGCACGTGAATTCATCTAGTACGTACTCCCAGGGATCGCAGCGATGACATATCCAGCAACAGACGTCACCTGCTTGTGTTATTTTGATTTCACCTGTGCCACAAGGAAGAGAGCATACTGAGGATGTTAGCTTTCCTGCCGGCCACTTAACATCATTGAGGTCCATATGTAAACCATCGAACCATTTACCGACGACTTTATAGTAGTATGAACTAGTGTTTTCATTGTACTGGTAATTGTAGATGGTATAGCGTCCCAAGCCATCTCCTTGACGATCGAACTTCACCTGGTTCCCTCCGAGATCTGAAAAAAATATCAGAGCCAATTAGGTTTAATTGGTAGAAGGAAGATAAGGGATTGCATCAATTTACTAAAGAGTTATGCCCCCTGTTCACTTCGGTCATCAACACCAATTAATTATTCTTTAAGTGAAACTTTTTACACGAGGGCAAAACTCAGAGATAGTGTTGCACGGAGGTGAAATACACTCATTCTCTTCCGGCTTTTAGTATTTAGATGACGGAGTCTTTATTCAACTTTCGATATTGTCATTATTATTCAAAAGAAAATAAGAATTCAAGCAAAAAAAAAAAGCGTTTAATAGGTTTAATTATAGTTATATTTCGCTCTTGTTAGTTAACCCTTTGCTTACGGTGTACTATGCTGCACCATCATATTGGACCACATGTTGTACCAGCCGTAAGTAAAAGGTTAAAGTTCTCAAAGTGACACTTAGCAATCAATTAAATTTTATTAATGTTATGAATTCGTTGTCCTTATTCAGTTCACATGTTATTCAAGTCAATAAGAGTGCTACTTCAATTCTTCTTCTAATTAAATGCTTGCTTTCTGGCAGATGAGGTTCCTAGTAAACTAATTACATTTCATTAGGATAGTAAGATATTTTGTTTCAAATATGGCTTATTGCAGCTGTAATTTAATCCCCACTTTATACACTTCTGGTAAATATTGTTGTAAGTTTGCAATTAAAAATGAAACAATACAAGCGTAATTAATTTTATTAAGTGCGTTAGTTATTAAAATTTAGTAGTCAACAGTTGAATTGCTACATGCAGAAAGGGCATGCGTCCTGCTTACTATCTTTCGAAAAAGCTAAAAAGTTAGAAAGTTGTTATAGTAACTAATATATATTGTTGTCACGCGAAAATTTTTGTTGTTAACAAAAAAATAGCATATTTTACTAACATACTTTTTTCCTTGACTGATTCAGATTTTGACCCTCAAAATATCTAGCATTCTCTAAATAAATGTTCAAAATTGTATACCTTACAATTGAAAATTTTCCCCGACTATTTTCAAAGAAACTAATCAAAAAAAATATTCACTGAAATTATTTTTACAAAGAAATATCTTATGATAAATCACTTAAAAAGTTCTTCAGAAATGGCGAAAAACGCAAAAAATAAAATTAGCATAAAGAAGTCTTTGCGTCGCTTTCCTGACCATATTTTTTAGATTGCGGCTACCTGCTATATTTTGAGTGTCAGAAATCCTAATCCGCTGAAAAAAAGTTATGTTTATTCAGAGAAAGTGGGTTTTTGTGTCTGATTTCGTAACTTAAAATGCCGTTTGAAGTAATTAAATAGCATATTAAAGGTAACCTCTTCGAATCACTTAGATTAAGTTCCAAAACATAAAGATACAATCATTTGATCAAAAGTTATTCAGGGTGGTCCGCTTTTCACACATTGTGCAAAGAATAATAAGTATTTAAGAGGTTTGATATTACCTTTTGGATAGAAGGCCTTTTTCAAAAAGAAAGGAGTTGTTAAAATCTATGAATGTATTTTCGTATTTTTTATTTCTATTTCCATCAATAGCGATATGGATATTTTTTTAAAAACTAAGTTACGTTTTTTAAATTTCATTAAGAAAAACTTTAGATTTTATTATTAACTTTCTGCTTGTGAGCTCTTCAAGTTTCATCAGCTTTACGATCATCCCCGGTTTTGAAAGTAATGAAGAAAGGTTTTTTTGGTTGTAAGATAGACTGTGCAGCAGCTTTGTTTACAGTATTACCTGTATAAATATCTTACCTATATAAATATACTGAACTATTTATTATATTCATCAATTGCATTTTATTTTATAAATCTGGGAACTTAAGACTTTTTAATAATTAGAATTATATGTTGGCTAGTTTTTATATGAAAAAATTGTGGTAATATTTTGCAATTTTATAATGATACAGAAATTTTTTTTATGTAATTTACCGTTACGTAAAACATGTTTAATCGTTCTATTATATTTGGTTGGATAATTGAATATGACAACAGTTGAACTAGTTAAGGAAAGAAGTTCTTTCAAAATGCTAGGTTTATGAAATAATCGATTTGAAAAATAATAAAAGTAAATATTTTGCTTAAAAAAAAGAACTGCCTTGAAGTATTTAGGTTGTGCAAAATTCTAAACTGCGAAATTCTGATAAAAACTGCAAAATTCTTATGATAAATTACGAAAATAGATGAGAAACATAAAATTAAAAAATTGATAATACAACCTTAAAAAGACTTTTTGAAGTATCAATAGCAATATAGGAAGTCTTTTATTAATCTTGATCACTCATATAAGCTTGAAATATTTTTTGATACTTTAAATATGAATTATTACATTTGAACCATTATTCAAAAAGAGGAGTATATTCCGTCAAGAATATTTAACAATTATTTTAAAATAAAATAAATAATTTTAAATAAAATAAATGCTTTTAAATAAAATAAATGCTTTTAAATAAAATAATTTTATATTTAAAAATGGAAATAATTAATTAAAAAAAATAATTTTATAATCAAATTTCTTTATTTTCTTAAACTGAGTTTTGAAGAACAAACACTTAATATTAACAGAAAAGTTATTAAATGTTAGATGGTTAAATGTTAATTATGTGCTAGGAGTACATTCAAATATGCAAAATTTATATATTTTTCATGTGTATCACAATTATATTCACATTTATTAATATATATTTGCACATATTTTTTTATTGCGAGTAATTAATTTCATATTATCTGTCGTTTTAAAAGTTCGGCTTTCACCATTAAATTGTTATCTGCGGATAGTAAATGGGTGTAATCAATTACATCCATTAAGACGTGATTTAAAAAATTCTGTTGCTAACATCATATTTATAGATTAATGGTGCTAAAAATAGATTCATCAGCATTTTGTTAATGCGTGTTTTTCGGTTCAAAAAAGAAAATTTTGCATGCATTAATCTTCTCTTCATTATAACTGCGGAAAAATAAAAGAGTTAATAATTTTTTTAACGATTGAAAAGATGTTTAAAATTCAGCTTAAAGTGCTAGTTTCTGTAAATTTTGCATTGATTTTAAAATCATCTTTTGCTTTCATTTGCAAGTGTGAAAGATTATTTTTAATTCTTCAAACTTTGTTATATGTTATAGATATTGTATAGAAGCTAGTGTTTTCTTTTTTTTATTAATTTCTCAGAACAGTAAATTTATTAAATTTCGAATAAGAGAAGTCATATAAATATTGAATTATTAAACAATCAGCTAAAATGTAGTAGAAAATTTAATAAAAATGTCGAAATGTGTAAAATTATCAGAATTGAATAACTTAATATAATAGAATTGAATAATTTCATTTTATCATTTTGCTTAATTTGTTTACTATATTTATTAGGTTGTAAACTTCACCATTTCTTAAAAATAGACTCAACAATAGTGATACACTTTGCTTAAAATCATAATATTTTATATTTTTTTATGAAATAAAAATCTACTATTTCTGTTTTGCATTAAATTTTATTTTTCCTCTGAATTATGTTAGAAAACATAGGATCGGCATATTTTTTTATAAGTAGATTTAACAACATAAAAAAATTTATATTTTGAATACCGATATTCTATTTATAATTTTAAGGAATACTTCCTTTCACATGTATTTAATTTTATATTTAAGTTATGCTTGAAAGAATCAGAAATGTCATTATTTCATAATGAATGATGTAACAATATTAAACACTTTTATACTGAATTATGAAACCCTACATTTATATGTAATTAATGTGTTTTAAAAGTTTTTATAACGGTTTTATGTTATGTTTGAATAACATGGGCTTCAAAATTTATTTCCTTCTTTTTAAAACATGAAAAATAATATCGAAACAGTTTAATTTGAGTCATATTGATTTTAAATCTTTGTTTCTCTTCATTGGCAGGGAAACATTTTCAGAATATTTGCATACTTAACGGGGCATAATTCACTTTTTATGACATTAAACAAGCGAAAAGTAAAAGGCAGGTAAAAATTAATACACAAAAAGAAAATAAGAAAAGTGCCTTTAAAGAAGAAAAAAAAGATAATATTGACATAAATAAAGATATATCGTGATGCTCTTAAGAAAGCGGCAGTTGGTTCTTACTTTTTTCATTGATAGTTTGTAAATATCTTAAAAAAAGTTGGGAGTACTAAACAGCAATATTGCAAAAATTTTAATTTCAAGATATTGACAAACATAACATTTAAAAAATATATTATAGATTTAAAACAATCTTACTACCTATATTTTAAGTAATTGTGAAAGTTATCTATCATATATCACAATTGAAATTGTCTTCAATATCTAAGAATCTTTATAAGATAAAGAAAATCATGGTGCTATTTTGAATTGACTCTTTTAATAACTTAATTTAAAATAGCAGCGAATTGTCTTAACGTCAGAGAATTTTATATGAAATGATATTAATATTTTCTTATATCACTTTATTTAGTGGTATTTTGCATTTTAAATATTAAATCATTATATATATGGTTTAATTGGTTTTAGTATTATACTTATTTAAATAGTCTATTTGATGCTCGCATAACTATTATTTGCGTAAAATGTAGTTTTTATATAATTCTTAGACTTATAACTTTTGAAAATGATTTTTTTGTGGAAATATATTTATTGAAGGGGAACAATATAAATGAAAAACTCAATAATTGAAAAGCACGATAATTGAAACACTTTTATTACGCAACTCACAAAGTTATAAGTCAAAGTCAAAGTTATAAGACATGTAAAAATATTGCATAATTATGAGCTGATTAAACTGCCTAAATTAATGCACTGTAAAAATTCCAGATCAAATTACGGTAAAAAGTTTCGGCTCTATGGATGAATTATATGTAAAATTCATCTCACCTTAATGTCTATCTTTAACGTAAAATATTATACCGTAATTCTGACCAGAATATTCATTTAATTATATAGAATTAAGTGAATTTAAGGAAATTATCACTATAAATATATATTAGGTACATTAGAACGGTAT